GCCCTCTTGTCACTTGTGGAGGCTGAAAATTTTTTACTGGGCGTAAGGAACTGGAAGAGAGCAGCGCAGGATAGAGAGGAATGGAGGGGCTTGATAAGGGAGGCCAAGGCTCGACATCGGGCTGTTGCGCCATAGAAGAAGAAGAAGAAGAATTTCCCATTCGGCATTCGGGAGTCCGACACAGTTTCATTCTGTCGCTTTTGGTACAGATGAAGGAGCGAAGCAATGCGAAATGCGTTACAACGGAGTAGCATCATATACGCATTTAACTGAAGCGAATTCGACCAGACGCTGCTTGTTCCCCTTCCAAAAATAAATAACGCAGTCAATTCGTCTGCAACTCGCTCTCCTTCGTTGACGCCTGTCGCTGCTCCTCCTGGATCGACATCGCTGTCTGCCTATCCCCACGTTTACGGTTTTCCGTCTCTATTCTCTCAGTTTTCCGGATTTCCGTGACTAATAACAACGGGTTCTGGATTTGATGACTGGATTTACTGACACGGATGATACACAGATGATGGAGCAATCAATGGAATGAGAACCAGCAGGGAAAACCGAAGTACTAGGAGAAAACCTACCCCAGTGCCACTTTGTCCACCATTAATCCTACATAACATGACCTGGGCTCGAACCCGGGCCGCAAGCAGACAACTAACCGCTTGAGCTATGGCACGGTCACTTTTAGAACAACTTAATATCGACGTACGTGTAGATTCTACAGGGGCCTGACGATGGGTTTATGCGCTTCGCCCGTCTTCTGGTATTCTAAAGAACACTGCAGAATACCGGACGATGTTCATTCGTCAATGGCTATACAGCCCTTCATTAGGGCCTGGTCTCTCTTCAGTTTCGTAATCATTTTACACAGACGGTAGGACTCCTAGAACGAGTGAGCAGTCCGTCACAAGGCCGCTTCCTACACATAACAACACAAACACAGAATAAACGCACATAGACATCAATACCTTCACTGAGATTCGAACCCACGATCCCAGCGTTCGAGCGAGCGAATATACTTCATGTCTCAGACCGCGCGGCCACTGTGGACCGGACGTTGTGCGAAGTCCAAACACCCAGAAATCCCTACTTACGACTAATATACAATTTTTGTTTTCATGGTTCTACAGCACCCTTGGGCCCTGGCCTGTGATTTTCCACTTTGATGATCATTTTACGGACGGTAGGACTGCTTGGACGAGTGATGAGCTCGTCGCAAGGCCTCTACCTAAACTCCTGACAACACAAACACAGAATAAACACATACACATACCAATCATCAATGCCTTGTGTGGGATTCGAACCCACGATTCCGCTCGGCTACCGTGACCGGCAATATACGATTATCGCACATTATTCGCAGCCGCCTGCCATTTCAACTTGCCGTATCATACAGTTCCAACATGCGATGTGACTCGTCTGATTGTCTAGACTTTGTTTAGTGTTCAGACTTTGAAACTCCTTTCCGCCCACACGGACCACAAGTCTGCGTATGTTGGTGGTTCATGTGTTCAAGGTTCGACGGGATGTGTTGTATTTTATGAAGGCCGGACTCCTTCTCTGGTCACCTTCATAATTTCAGTAGCATTTCTACTGCCGAACTACAGCTAATTCCGCTGCTAGGCAAGCAACTTCGCGTGGAGACTCGGTAACTGATCGAGTTCGACCGATATATTTCTGCATATTTTCTTGCGGATGTTAGATGTTCCTGGCAAGCGGAGTGGACTCCCACACACGGTGCAACAAACTGCGAGCAGAGAAGCCGCTAGTACAAGTGGCTGTCCTGCTTAGCCCATGAGGAAGGAAGGCGCAGCGGTCACACCCTTTCCCATAAGTTGTTCGCTTGTATCTGTTGCTTGCTGGTCATCACCCGTTTTCTCGCTCTCTGGTGCACCTTTCCTTGTTTCACACGTTCTGGTCCAATGCCAATTTTAAGATGCAGGATACCGTACATTTCATATTTACGGTAAGGTAAGGTTGTCCCTAGGCATGTATTGTCTTCGCTCGCTTGGAAACCGGGATCGTGGGTTCAAATCCCACTCAGGGCATGGATGTTTAGTTTGTGTGTGCGTTTTTCTGTGTTTGTATACAGGTAGAGGCCTTGCAACGAGCAGATCACCCGCCTAAGGAGTCCTACCAAATGTGTAAGATCTAGAAAAACCGAAGTGAACGGAGAAATTCATGGGGCTGTAGTGCCACGGAAAAAAGAAAAGTTTTCCTTGTGTTTAACTAATTAAGCAGTAGACTATGAAGATGAGTGGGGGAGTGGATGTACAGACCTACGTATTCTTGACCTCGGCACTAGTTGGAGGTGAAGCGCCCCGGCTGCTTTCCTCCCCAGGGAAAAACCCCCGGTACACATTAGATCGGAGGCTGGGTAGCATATCTACAGTACAGTGCGCAACAACCTTGACGAAGACCGCCATAGTTTCTAAATTTTTGGTGTTCACGAGAGCTACGCATATTCCTATGCTATTTTGTCATTATTACGCCTCGAGCTTCTAAGGTGCAGAAATATCTCTATCTAAGATTTCCAACACGATTTCTATGATCTTATCTACAGACCTCTATACAGCCTGCTATCATTTTAGCAGCGAGAACTGGATTGAAAATAACAATTTTACTCTCAGGCAGTTTTGTTGTTTGGCGATCATGGGCCAATAGTAACAACAGCGTGTAGCGGCCTCCGTAGTCTAGAGGTAAAGTTCCCATCTCATGACTCGTGGTACGCGGGTTCAAACCCGGCGGAGGTCGTGGCATTTTTAAGGGCGGAAAATTTCAGGGAACAAGTCCTCCGGGAGGGATTTTAAGCCGTGGGTCCCGTGTCGTAGCTTTACGGCACGTAAAAGAACCTCGTACCTCCAAAGGAGATCACTGAGCCAAAATTGCGGACGTTTCCCGCCCAACAGCAGTCACTAATACCTCTGGTAGATGGGGGAAGCATTATAGATACCTCTCAGCTAGTAGAGCCGGTCTCGCTGGCCCGGTCGGAACTGATGGTACGCACCAATATCGGTAGGGTATAGAGAGTGGTAGAATATCATAGAGGGAAGCACAATAGATCAAACTGGTCGCGATGCATGGGGAAACCCACCCTCTCCAATAACTAACTAACTAACTAACTAACATCAGCGTGTGCTGGATTACGTAATTTCATATAAATGTTAGATAGACGAAAGGAGTCTTGAATGCTGATGTGCCTCTAAATTCAAATATACACACACGCATGGGCAGGCACACGCTATTAAAGGTGAAGCTAGACTTGTGCTTAATTAATTAAGCACTATGCCATGAAGCATAGTCCTTCTTGAGACACCACTGTCACTCAAGAAATTCCACATTATTTTCTGCAATCCAATATTTTATTGCCTGTTCAAAACAACCCAACATCTGACCTCATCCTCAGCCGTATGCGTCCTATCCATATTTCCAAGCCCAACTTCTAACGTTCTTTATTGTCCACTAAGCAATGAACATATAAGACCATGAGGAATCTACACAAATATCCATATCCCTATAACAAGGAAACACTTTTATTCTGTTATTAGTTTCCGTTGTCAATACATTCGTGTCTGTTCATGTTCATGCGTCAAGACATATAACAGTCAAGACAGGATGTCTGCGACATGATGCAAAGAAAAGGGCACAGTTGAAACGAATGACATTATGAAAACCGCTGCACACCGATCTGAGTCATGATACTGATGTCAGCTTCATGCTGACGAATAACGAATGAAGCAAGACTGCGTCTTTTGTCTCACGTCTTGATGTTTGTCTTGGCGCAGTTGGTGTGCGGTCGCCCTTTATTATTATTATTATTATTATTGGATGGGGTGGGTTTCCCCCTGCACTTAGACCAACTGTTGGTCCATTGTACGTCCCCCTGTGATATTCAACCAGTCTCTATACTCTACCGATACTGGTGCGTGCCATCAGTCCCGACTCAGCCAGCGAGTTCGGCCTCTACTGGCTCAGCGGTATCTAGATGCTTCCCCCATCTACCAGATGCGTTAGAGACTATTGTTGGGCGGGAAACTTCCTTGTAATTTGGCTCAGAGACCTCCTTGAGGCATGAGGTTCTTTTACGTGCCGTAAAGCTACGACACGGGACCCACGGCTTAAAGTCCCTCCCGGAGGACTTGTTCCCTGATTTTTTCCGTCCTTAAAAATTCCACGACCTCCGCCGGGTTTGAATCCGCGTACCTTGAGTCATGAGGTGGTAACGTTACCCCTAGACTACGGGGGTCGCTTGCGGTCGCCCTTACTGTTACAACCAACGCACATATAAAGCGTCACTCTGTTATATGTTCCTTAACCCGAACACAACCAAGAACTCTCATGGACATTAAGAAACAGAGTCAGTAGTCCTACCAATAAGCACGTTAGCTGCTGCGAAGTTTTAGATGTCATTCAAACCATCAATCCTCATTTTTTTAAATTACATTAATAAACTGCAATTCGTTAATTTTAGTTTCATTACTGTTTTTAATTTGGGCTATTAAATGTTTTGATATTAGAGCCAGGATAGCGCAGCAGGTATAGCGACTGGCTACGGGGTGGACGATCGAGTGTTCGAGACAAGAATTTTCTCTTCTCAATGTCGTTCAGGCTGGCTCTGGGAACCACCTAACCTCCTATCCAATGGGTACCGCGGGCTCTTTCCACGGGGTAAAGCAGCCGGGATGTGAAGCTGACCACTCACCTCCAACTAGTGCCGAGGCGAAGAAAATGTCTATACAGCCACTCCCCCACACGTTTTCAAGGCCTAGTGCTTAATTCCTTAAGCAAAGGGACAACTTTACTTTTTTACATACTGCGATATTAACAAGGAAAGCAATCACACCCAGGACGAAGACCGGGCAGTTGGACTCATGTTTGTATATTCTAATTTCCAACAGCGACGGGTACACTGTACCCCTGCATATTCTCATTCAAGTACCACACTTTCACACTTGTTGTGTTTCTTTGTTTTAGCAGGCGGATAAGATATGTCCAGCTGAAACAGGAATCCCACCAGCGGATCAAGATAACTGCTCTCACTCTGCAGGCCTGCTCCATACTTGATAAGAAGCGATTTTATTACAGCTAGCCAAAGTCCATTTGCAGTTATTTTGTACATGTATATATATGCATGTGTTGATTACGTGATATTTCCACAATCCGTTAGTAGCTTCTTGAATCTCCCCCTCTCCTGCTCACTCTGTAGAACTTGATTAGACGTTGAGGAAGAAACCCCGTGTTGTCTCTCGGTCTAGTCACGCAGAGATACACGTACACTGTCGCATCGGAACTACGGCTCGCGTGCGCGGAACGTCAAAATTAGGACAAACGTGAGCATTAACAAAGAATAATTTTGTCATCAGAAAAATCGACCTGTGTTTAATTTATACGCTTAATAATTTAAAGGTAAAGTTATGTTCTTTACTCCTGCAGAACCGCAATAATGCGAAACTACAAGAGTAAACGCAATTCATTGTAACGTATCATTTTGATGCTTGGAAAGTTAATGAGTAGAAGTTGATAAGCGTTTCAAACTTACACATTAGCATTTCGTTAAACAGAGAAAGAGAGACGGTTAAAAGAAATCAAGGTGTCACGACGTAAAGGTGAAACTTTGTAAATATTACAACTTGGCCCCACAGTGACTGTAGAACAGAAGTGTACAAACTATTTGGAACTGAAGAATTAGACAAAGGCAAAATGTTAGAGCAATCGGACAGTGCAGCAGTGCAACCACACGTGTTCTTCCGGCAAGCAACTACACCCACACAGTCAACTGTTGTCACTTACAAGAGTGGAGGAAATGGATGTGTGAAAATCACCGGAAATGGTTACCAACAGACTTTTTCCCGCCTCCCACGGAGAACACCAGTGGATATACAATTTGAGAATATTGGATTTACAGCTTCGCTTGGATTCAGAAAAGGTAAGGTATTTTAATTTGTGTGGGAGTACCATTTCACTTAGTATTACAGGATATAACTCTTATCGGGATGTTCTGCAATCCTACAATAGCGAAAAAGTGAATTAGGAGAATTTGTTGTGCAATAATTTGAATGTAAGTTGTACTAAATAATTTGAGCTAGTTAGTAAACTATAACAATCGTACCCTCGATATGAATAGAAGTGTTTGAGGCCCCTCGACCTACAGCGGCAACTAGAATGTGACTTATTAGTTCCCAGAGAATAAATGTTAATGATATGTATGGAGATTTATTCCCCATTAAATTGTGTGTGTTTGTGATTTAACTGGCCTTTTAGGGTTAACATTTATTAAGTATCTTAATTATCAGACTATTTCTCTACAGCCCACGAGAAAAGCTTCATGGTCCCTTGAGGGGCCGTGACTTCCAATGTGGGAAACCCTGGAATAGAAAATGACATTTGAATGAATTATTAAAACAGAAACCATGAGCTTAGAATACATATGGAAAGATGTATCTGGACCGTCTGGCACACAATCAACGTAACAAGGAGAGTGACAAATAATTAAATAACTTTCATTTCAAAATTATCAAATTTCTGAAGAAGTTCGACGGTGCCTTTCCGTTCTAATATTGTCCACCCACCTACGCCTTGGCCTTCCCTGTGGTCTCTTTCCTTCTGGCTTTCCCACCAATAGCCTATACGCATTCCTCGTCTCCACCATTCGTGCTACATGACCTGCTAACCTCATTCTCCTTGATCCAATACAAACCTTTAAAACTAACTTTACTTCTTTAATATTCATGTTTAATATTAGTATTCCAGCTTGGGCCTTCCATTTTTCCTCTCTTCTTCAAATGCTTGCCTCCTAAAGTACTGAACCAACTCCCCACCTTTCTTACGAATTCTACTAGTCCTACTCATCTTTCCCTTCTCGTTGTCAGTCTGATCAACCTACTCATGTTTGGTTTAGATTACGAACCACGAAGCTCTTCTTTATAGTTTTCTCTCCTATTACTTTCTTCGTCTTAAGTCCAGATGTTCTTCGTATCACTTCTCGGATGCCCTAAATCTACGCTGGAAGACAGACCAAGTTATATACCCATGCATAAGAACTGGCAAACATTCAAGTAAAAAGAAAGCCTTAATGAAAGTAAAATAACTTATTGCAGTGTTGGGGAAACTGCAATTATTATAATGATGTCTTATCAGCTGCTTTCTCTGTCCTTTCTGCTCTTCAGCAATTCGCAATAGCTGTTGTGGGCCAAATGTGTTACGCTAAGCTAGCCATATATGTTTGGGCTGGTAACAGGATGCACACTGTGAAGATCATTTCCAGAAGATTCCTGAACCCGAAACATCACGAGCAGGAATCGAGAATACCACTCAATCATAACGTTAGTTAGCGAAATACTGTGTTGTGTTCAATGAGTAGGCCTAATATTATTTCTTTTGTCCAAACGTATTAGGTACACGTGATCGTCGGCTTACGACCGGCTACACTTACGACCACAAAAAATGAAAAATAAAAGATGATTAAATTGTAAAAGTTTTTAAAAATAAATTATAAAGACGATAAAAAGATTAGAACGGTTAAAAAATACTGTTAATAAATATATATTCGACATACGACCAGATCGACTTACGACCTGTCAGTCAGAACGGAAGTCGGTCGTAAGTGGACGACCAAGTGTATTTAGTTGCAAGGTTTCCTGAATATGATTAGTGCTCTCTTCTGGGATGTAACCCCACAGACGTTTCGGAGGAAGATAATGCCTAAATATTCAGGATCGAAAAGTAAACCAAGCAAGAAATCAGCATCAAGCAGCCCGTCTGCTTCGTACACTTCTACTGGATTACATGACGGTGCATCCCAGAAGACCAAGCATGTGAGAAGCGCCTACCCACAATTCCACAATTTGCTTTTTTATCCACATTACACGTTTTTTTTCTTTTTCCTTTATCCAAACCTTTCGAAACTTAGTTATCAATAGCTACCAGTTGTTATTATTAACATGATGGTTATTTTTGTTGTTCAGCCATTCTAAAAACTTATTTAAGATTTGAGGTTTTCACGGCGGTGACTATGAAGTCTGCCATCTTCTGGGATTTGGGGCCATGTAGATCTTGTATGAACCGACGTTTCAGAGGAACGCATTCACTCCATCTTCAGGGTCGAAAAATCCGTAAGCGAGGAACCAGGTCAATGTTTCTACCCTGAAGACGGAGGCGATACGTTCCTCCGAAAAATCGGTTTACATCTACACGGCGCCACATCCCAGAAGACGGTATTCTTCATTCTGAAAACTTAGTTACGAACTTCCGGCAACATTATGCTGCTTTCCTTACATTTAAAAGAAATAAAAGGAGGCTTTTGAGCAATTCATCTGCTGTTCAGAAGACCCCAAGGTTTCCGCACTTGCATCCCACACTTAGAGGGGACGTTCCTCAAGCCATCACCTTATTATATTTCTGTATAACTCCATCTAATTTTTGTCATGAGGTTTACGAGATCACCTAGCTATGTGTCCACGCACCCCATTGTTTTTTTGTTTTCGTTTTCTGTGCAGTCTGCTTCATATCAAAGGAAACTCCCTCCGTTTTATTATCTGTTTAATCAACAAAATGTTTTTTTCTTTGCTTGAACAGTTTATGATCTAAGTTATAATGCTACCTTAATCTGTTTGATTATCCAGGACGGAAGAAGATTCTACATGAACTGAACGGCAGATTTGCCCCACGACAACTCATAGCCATTATGGGACCTTCTGGAGCCGGGAAGTCAACTTTGCTAGATGTTCTTTCTGGTTACAGGTAAAGGTCAAGGAGAGAAAGTCCTGTCTATTGCGTCAGATATTTCTTGCTCCATCTGTCTTGCGCTTAAGTCCTAATTAGAGTCCGGTACAAAGGTTGAGAAGAACCGGCTGCTACCTGTTTCATGCTGGTTCCTTTCTTGACTTATTCGTCGACCCTGAGAAAGGAAATGTCATGTTCGTCCGAATTTCCGTTCATTTTAAACGGACTACGCGATGTTATACAAGCCTATATATTCAAGTTTCTAAACGATGTGTCTCAGTGAGGGACTGGGTGTTCGTTTCTTCCGATGCTTATTAGGAACACCACATGCAAAGGCACCATGAGAATGAACAGTCCAATGTTGCTGAAGGTGACCTGTTTTTTTTTTCTCATTGGAGCTACAGCCCTCATTTTGGGTCTAGGCCTACCTCCATGAAACTCTCCGTTTCATTTCGGTTTACTAGATCTTAGACATACGGTAGGACTCCTTGGGCGGGTGTTCAGCTCGTCGCAAGGCCTCTACCTGTACACAAACACAGAAAAACGTACACAAACAAACTAAACATCCATGCTCTGAGTGGGATTCGAACCCACGATCCCGGCTTCCGAACGAGCGAAGACAGTGCATGCCTTAGACCGCTCGGCTACCTGACAGGCCCAAGGTGACCTCTAGGTAACCGAAATTAAAAGAAGAAACCATTGGATCCTCTTTGAAAATATGGCACAGTTCAGATATTCGGGAACGACAATAACAAATCAACACTTGATTGAGGAGGAAATTAAGAGGGGTTTGAACTCGGGTAATGCTTGCTACCGTTCGGTCCAGAACCTTTTGTTTTCCCGTCTGCTGTCTAAAAACATAAACATTAGAATATACAAAACTATAACTTTGCCTGTGGTTCTGTGTGGGTGTGAAACTTGGTCTCTGGCATTAAGGGAGGAACATAGACTGAGGGTGTTTGGGAAGAGGGTGTTGAAAAAATTTGTACTCGAGGGGGATGAAGTGACGGGAGATTGGAGAAAAGTGCATAATGAGGAGCTTCGTAACTTTTACTCTTCACCAAGTATAATCAGAATGATCAAGTCAAGGACGATGAGATTGGCGGGGTATGTAGCATGCACAGGGATGAAAATACATGCCTGTAGGCTTTGGTGCGAAAGCCAGAAGGAACAAGACCACTAGGCAGATGTAGACGTATGTGTGGGGGATAATATTAAAGTGGATCTTAGAGGGATGGGATGGGCTAGAATGGACTGGATTCTTCTGTGCATAGGACAGGGACCAGTGGAGTGCTCTTGTGAACACGGTAATGAACCTTCGGGTTACATAAAATGTTGGGAATTTCTTGAGTAGCTGAGCGACTGGCGGCTTCTCAAGAAGGGCTCAGCTCTGTGGGGTTAGTTAAATGATGACTGGACCCTACCCCGAACAGTTCAACCTAGTTCATACCTCAATAACTATTTACATAGCATAGGTTTTAATATTTATTTCCCGCCTAATGATGAAATACTGTCTTACAATTACACCCTTTTTACAACTGATGGTCCGCAGACCGCTGCCGACCCGCAAGGCCTCTAGCTAAGGAAGTTCCATCTACGCAACTAAAACATCTAATGGTATATTGTATATTGATTTATTACTACGTGTTTAGGCCATAGAGGCCATCATGAGACAATTGGTACATTCATTATTACTTGTTACGAATATGGATATTGGCCCTTATTTACGTGTTAATTTTTTCTAAAATATGCCGCCAAATTTAGTTAAAATATATAGTTAAAATGCGGAAAAATGGATGGGTATTTGATAGGGTTGGAATATACGAACTTCTAGAAGATAGGGCTTAAGTGATAACATTGTAAAATAGTGAAAATGCAAATTAGATAGAGTATAGTAAATGCAATGTCAAGTGGGAGTTGTGGTGGACAAAGTAGCGCTGGGGCAGGTTTTCTCCGAGTACTTCGGTTTCCCCTGCCAATCTTCATTCCACCAATTGCTCCACAGTCACCCTCACCTATCATCTGGGGCTAGTACAATAGGCCAGAAGTGGCCGCTGTACAAGGGACTTAGTCCCACCCCACTAGCAATAAAAATAATAAATATATGTAAGATTTGAGGTTTCACGGCGGTGACTATCAAGAATGCCGTCTTCTGGGATATGGCGCCATGTAGATCTTGCGTGAACCGACGGTTCAGAGGAACTTATCGCCTCCATCTTCAGGGTAGAAAAATCCGCGAGCGAGGAACCAGGGTGAACAGATGTGAACTGTCCTTTCACATATGGCGCCACATCCCAGAAGACGACATTCGTTATAGTAAACGGAACTTATATGTACCCAGAGGAGTTGGGATAGCTCAGTCGGTATAGAGATTGGCTACGGGCGAGACGGTCACGGGTAAGCTTTCTCTTCTTCGTAGCGTCAGTACCTGCTCTAAGGCCCACATAGCCTCCAATCCAATAGGTACCGGGGGGGGGGGATTTCCCCCGGGGTATAGCTGCCGGGGTATGAAGCTGACCACTCATCACCTAGTGTCGATGTCGTGAATGGTAGCGCTATACCTCCACTGGCCGTAGAATCTGAAGTGTATATCTGATATGTTCCTGGCGTTCTCTGAGGAAGGTTGAGGCGGATAATGGCAGGGGACTACATGTACACCGCAATAAGCCGTACTGTGTTGCTTCCGAACTGCTAGAAATAAGGTCCAGAATACTCAGATACATATGTCTCATGATTTTCATGGAGATGTCGTACACATTGTCGTCGGAATGTGTAGATTCACTTGATAAATGTGCAACTGGGCTAGCCTGCTGGTTTCAGACTACAGCTCTCGCACTAATCCATGTGGGCATCTATTTGTCCGTTCTGAAGATAAGGAATCTTCCAAATATTTATATATACACTTCATATATACCGTATTTACGCATATATAGGCCGCGTGTGTGTATAGGCCGCAGCACAATTTTCAGACAGAAATTATAGAAAAAATAATTTTCTTGGAATATTATTTCAGGAGTAGAACATCCTGTATTACTAATTATGAATATATATTTTTTTTTAAATGAAGTGTGATTTCGAATATTTCGAATATAAGCCGCACCCCAGTTTTCCTCTTGAATTTTTGGCAAAAAAATGTGCGGCCTATACATGCGTAAATACGGTACTTCATACTTCATATACAAAATACACTTCCACAAATTGTCAGCCGTCACGAAACAAAAACAGAAACGACGAACTATGATTTCTCGTTAGTGACGTTTTACATACGTGTATGCAAAATAGGAAAACCGGTTCATGTGCGCTGAGTTACACAATACGTTGCCGAGAAAATCCGAAATCTGACAATTTTCGTAAGTCTGATCGCAGAACTTCAGCCCATTTGCGAAATCAGGGCAAAGTTAGCTTTTAAGTACAATCATGCAGGCATCCGTAGGTGCTTTCCTTCGCTCACAGTATTAATCGAAGGCAAAATTTTACCGAATTATATATATATACGAGTATATATTAAGGCTGTGTTTACACGTGCACTGTGTCAAAGAACTTCGAGGTTGCATTATCATCATATATCTCTGACGTCATCATTGGAAAGTAAATCCTGTTTTAGACACAAGGGGGAAAGTCAAGATCTCGCTGAAAAAGCGTGACATTTCTTCCACAAGCTCGCTTACTCAAGGTAGAACGTGCGCTGATTGAGGTTCAAGGAAGAAAATCTATTACTCAGTGGTCTAATTATTATTTTTACAATTATGGACTATTTTTTGCAAGATTTGAGGTTTTCACGGCGGTGACTATGAAGAAAGCAGTCTTCTGGAATATGGTGCCGTGTAGATATTGTGTTAATCGACGTTTCGGAGGAAAGTATCGTCTCCATATTCACGCTGGTTCATCGCTCGCGGATTTTCCTTTTTCTTCTATCCTGAAGATGGAGGCGATACGTTCCTCCGAAACGTCGGCTAACACAATATCTACACGGCACCACATTCTAGAAGACTGCTTTCTTCAGGGACTATTTTTACTTTTCAGTTTTCTTCCGCAACTAAACAGTTTCAGCTGAATATCATTAAGACCTGGTTATTTCCGTTTTGTTGTGACCGACCCAAGGCCGATGAAGAGGGCGTGTGGCTTTGTGGTACTCATATTCTGCTTCTTTTACTTTTCGACCCTGAAGACAGTATGTTCCTCCGATGGGCTGCCTTGGAAAACTTCTATTAGAATAAGCGGTTTAACATCCTCAAAGAGAGTACTCTTATTTTTCTTCCTGTTTCTTAACTTTCATCCACGGAATATTGGCCCATAATTCATGTAAAATATAAGCTCTAAATTTTGTGACGATTGTAGATTAATAAGAACATCACGTTTCTGGACATTAACCATCGTCCTGTTCGTATTTAACTTTTAGATCTTATTTACATAAATAGTATAACCAGGTACATATCAGAAATTTAGGGAATTTGAACGCGTTAATACCTGAAGGAGGAGACAGAATCTTGTCTCCGAAGCATAATATTTGTACAATATAAAATATATTGGATCATTTTGTAACCTGTCATGAGAAACGGGAACTTCCAAAAGGAAGAAGAAGAGAGTTTAACTTCGCAGATAAGACAACAAATTTTACATTTCTATCCAGAAATTGTATAATTCTTTCAGTCCCATATTGACGCAGTATGTCTTGGAAGTCATTCTGTCAGGACCTTGAGTCAGTTCCTGAGTCATACACGTGGTGACCTGGCGTCTCTAGGAGCAGCCAGCTTGCAAACGCGATACGGCTTTGCCAGCTTAATTAGTATTCATACAATAATCCTTCATTCGTGAACTACTGAATACAGATAACCATAACTTTGGACTTTAACATTTTGCAAGAAGAATATGTGTTCCATACACAAATGCATTCGTTCAAGATTATTGACCAAATGGCATACCATTCTTTTGTTGCCGGAAAATGTTAAGGTTTAGAACATCTGGTGAGTGATAGGCCAACATTACAATCTGAACTTTTCACCCTTCGCACACCGCATTTCTCATACAGGACCTTGCACCTTTGTCAAGTCCAGTTTTGGCTCCTTGCACTTTTAACAAACTACTCGACTCGTGGGGTTAACAAAAGGAAGTCCTGATTAGTGCAGTCTGTATATAACAATATAGAAGCGAGCGACCGTGGACTATTTGAAATTACTGTGTTGGCATTCATCTGGAAAGATTATAAAGACTAAAGAAATCCTTCGCCAGTACAGAGAGCACCCCGGAAGAGATCCGAAATAAATACAGTAAAAGTTGGTTATAGCAACATCGGTTTCTGCGACACCTTGTCTATTGCGTCAAATATTCAATGGTACGAACTAATTCCTCATAAAGCAACTGTTTTTATACCTTGCTTAGTACGACATGCACAAATGCATCAACCTCGTATGTAACGTCATTTTCATTCCTGAATTTCTCTGATATGGACATTGAACGTAATTTAGAAAGTGTGTATTGGGCAAGTAACAGGAAACAGATGAAGATAACTGATTACTGTACTCGTATCTAGGTACAGTAAGGCACAACAATTGATGTAATCTACTGTAATTTGGTGAGTAGGCCTACCTTTAATATACAGTATTAGTGCGGTGTGTATTGTCAGTGAAAAGCGCTGTAATATGTCTTTGATATTACACATTTGGGCAATTCCACGTTAATGTTACGTTAGTCTGTACTTAACTACGTATTTCACTAAAAAATGCAACATTTTAACTCGGTTTTTGGTAGATTTTTACGTGACTAACATAAGGCTATTGTGGAAGTGCCCATTTCGGTTACAACGACATTCGTTTATAACGACACTATTTTTAGGTCCCTATGATGACGTTATAACCAAGTTCTACTGTACATCCACTTATAAACCTACATTACTGTCACACCACCCTGAACTGGTCCTAAAATGAAGAGAAAGTACGATATTACCACATGAGCTACTTGAAGTCATATCCACCAAGGTCGATAGCCGAGAAACCTTGGAGACTTAATTAGCACTTGAGCTTGCTGGCGCGGACAGAAATTAACTAACATACTCTTTGGTTCGGAAGAGACAGCGATTGGGATTAGCTCTTTCTAACGGACACAACAGAGTTAGTGTCTCCAGGATGGAAACTGATCCTGTTTCTGAAGCGTTGTCCTCATTAGAGTACCGGAGGATAAAATCCAGAAACCCACTACTCCCGCTTGTTGCACGCCAACGTCGTAACGTTTTAGGAGCCATCCAAACGCTTTGTAACGCTAATTTCTGCGAGTATGGATACAGGATTAACCGCTTCTGTGGTATAGTGGTCAGAGTTATTGGCTACAGATCCAGAGGTCCCGGGTTCGATTCCCGACGCTATCAGATTTTCTGATAAATAATGGGTCTGGAACGGGGTCCACTCGGCCTCGTGAGGATAACTGAGGAACTACTTGAATGGAAAAGTAGCGGCTCCGGTCTAGAAAACCGAAATTAATGGCAGTGGGGATTCTTTGCAGGATTACAGGAGTGACTGGTTCCGTGATTCTGGACGGTGAGGAGAGGAACATGGATGCCTTCCGGCGTCTGTCTTGCTACATAACACAAGACGACCGTCTACAGCCATTGCTCACGGTCCGCGAGAACATGCAAATTGCAGCCGATCTAAAGCTACAAGGGGACGTCTCAAGGAGGGAGAAGAATAATATTGTAAGTATAATTAACCCCTTGTTTTGTATGGATGTAAAACTCCGTCTCTGATAACATGGATTGAGTGACTGACAACAATTCACCGAGAACAGCTGTGGCTACAAAACAGGATGTAACAAGAGAATGGAGATAATCACGTGACGAGCAGCTAGAAATACGAGATGGGCAGGTCATATAGCGTACAGAAGCCTAACAAACATATAACTAGATGCATAGTTTTGGTCGGACAACATTAAGGGAAGAAACCGCAGAAGGAACATAAGTGTATATGGGAGCAAAATATTAAAATGGGTCTGAAATAAATATGGCTTAAAAGGGTGGTCTAGATTAAAATGGATCGCGATTGAACCTGGCAGTTTATCGCTGTGTATGTAAATGTGCTCTTATGTATAAATTCAATTATGCATGTACTAATTCTTCGCTCTCGGATAGAATTTTGGAAAATATCGAAGTCGATTTCTGTACCAACTTGAATCATTTTAACGTTTCGCACATAAAGAATTACACTTAAAATCCCTCAGTGGACCTCATAGGCTACTGAGCTACCTGAATCTCATTAATGTTATGAATATACGAGGAAGAGTTAGTTAGTAACAAAATGGAAGTAAAACAGCTGTAATTGATGTAATACATTTTCTATGTATATTAATAGGTAGCAGCACAGTCCAACTTCATGACAGTCTAGGTAACAGACGCGCATGTTCATGTTCAGAGACTTGTTTTAGTAGTCAAAATGGCGACCGCGATTCAGTGTATTGCTGAAGAGCAGCGTTCTGATGAGCGCCTTTTCTGTGGGCAAAAGAACTTAATGCGAAGGATATTCATAAAGAAATGTTTCCTGTTTATGTTGGCAAGAGTTTGTCGCTTTAAACGGTTCCACCTTGGCGGCAAATGTTTTGCTGATGACGAAGAGGTTAAAACGGAGGCGCAGAAATGGCTGAGACAACAGTCAAAAGACTTCTGTGCTGCGGGTTTCGACTAACTGGTAAAGCGATGGAACAAGTGTATCAGTGTTGGTGGAGTATATGTCGAGAAATAAATGTTTTTCCAGGCTCAAATATCACATTCTTTTACGTTTTGTATCCATTTGTGACTTATTTAATGACTCTCCCTCGTATTTTGTATTAACTTGAGATCCGTTACAATAATTTACTTCGCTTCATATGTTTGTCTTTAAGGTGATATTTATTGTCAGGATTTCTGCAAATATTTGATGAATTATAGATCTCGTTAGGCGGAACCAAAGATCCCTGTGTACGCCTACACATTTGATGCCAACGAGAGTATGCATCCCTCTCAACAAATGACTTCATATTGAAAAAGCCATGCCGTCTCTGTGTATGTGTGTTATATCCCAGAAAGCAATCATTGAATTCTATGAAGTGTAGCATTGTGAGATCTACACTACAAGTCATTCGACGAAATTAGTTTAGGTTCATCAGTCTAAAAGAAAGATGGTTTTCATAACGCTCACATCAAACTTTATCTGTTTTCTCATGACGGGTTCATAGTACAGAAACCCGATATAGCATTAATCTTTAATGCGAAGCGATGGAGTATGCTAAGTACAAAGTGAAGTATATATATTTTTTGTACGTGCGATTAATTATACAAAAACAGATGTGTATCTGCTGTAAATCAGTCATAGGGTCAGTGAGGCAGGCCCTGTGCAAAAATAAATTACGGAAATTGTATACCCCACTAGATAAAATTTTCCACTAAAGGAATTGTGTTGTTTATTTAACGACGCTGTCAGTATCTTACACCATTTAGCGTTGAATGATGAATAATTACTTGGAAATTATTTAGAAGGAAGCGGCCTCGTGATTATTTCTCCTACTTCTTCTTCCTCTTCTTCTTCTCTTTTCTCTCTATCGTAGTTTCTTTCTTGTTTGGCGGAGATAATCGTACCCCTTTCCATGTTCTAGTCGTACTGTCCGCTGAGTTGAAACTAATTGTACTGCAAATATTTATTTGTAGCAATGATTTCTAAAAACTACGACAGTGGTTTATTTAAATCTTTTGTAATATGTCCTAAGAGACCACAGGGAAGACCGAGGCGTAGGTGGATGGACAATATTAGAATGAATTTTAGAGAGATAGGATGGGATGGTGTGGATTGGATGGATCTGGCTCAGGATAGGGACCGGTGGAGGGCTCTTGTGAACACGGAGAGGAACCTTCGGGTTCCATAAAATGCTGGGAAATTCTTGAGTAGCTGCAGAATTGGCGGCTCCTCAAGAAGGGCTCAGCTCCATGAGTAAGTAAGTAAGTAAGTAAGTAAGTATAGTGCTAAACCTACTTGCAAAAAGAGATTAAAACAACATACACTCCCTCGTACGAACGGACTGGATTTCTATAATAAGTTAATTCCAATACAAATTAAATACCGTATAACAATTTATTTGATGGAAACAATCCCCATCATAATAAAATAATAAATTAATTAAGCACTACACCATGAAGACGTATGTAGAAGTGGATGTATAGATCCATGTATTCTTAGTCTTGGATCCAGTTAGAGGTGAATGGTCAGCTTCACGTCCCGGTCGCTTTACCACCGGAGAAATACCCGCGGCAAACATTGGATAGGAGACTTGGTGGAGAAAGTCTTGTCCCTACAGGGACTTGTATTCCAACCCTTGGCCGTTCAGCCCGTAGCCAGTCGCTAATAAAATCGTAGGGTAATTTAAATTTAGCTAATGACCTTAAGAGCTTACCATCCAGATTAACGTGGAAAATATAAATAATTTAAAATGAAGGAACTGCTTCGAGGTTCTAACATACATTCTCTCTGTCGTACATCTCCAGTTCAGTGACTTTCTCTCTCCTCTTTTAAAGCAGCGGATATCAGACACCTTCAGAACTAACGGATAGGAAATATAATATGTTATACGTTCGTAGGCCGGTCACGGTAGCCGAGCGGTCTAAGGCATGCACTGTCTTCGCTCGCTTGGAAACCGGGATCGTGGATTAGAATCCCACTCAGGGCATGGATGTTTAGTTGTGTGCGTTTTTCTGTGTTTGTCTACAGGTAGAGGTCTTGAGACGAGCTGATCACCCACCCAAGGAGTCCTACCGAATATGTAAGATCTAGAAAAACCGAAGTGAACGGAGAAGTTCATGGAGGTAGGCCTAGGCCCACTGGGGCTGTAGCGCGAAGAAAAAAAAATACGTTCGTAGTCTGTTCGTAATTACTTTAATGTGGACATCTCCTTTCTCTGTTTCCGCTCATCATCGGTTAGGCTCATGTCTCTTTGTATTTGTACGTAGTGTATTCAACAACAGTGCCAGCATCTCAGATAATACAGCGTCGGAGGATCAGTCGATAGTAAATAGTGACTGCAAAGGAAGGGGAAGAAATAGGAAGTAGTATGATTCTAAGGTACCATTCCAGGCATTTCCTCTGAAGGGGCTGATACAACCATGGAAAGCCTGGATCAGGATTCGAACCGGGCACCTTCAGAACAAATAAATCATATTAAATAATGCAGATATCCTTCAAGGGATTACTGGAAACACCGCGCTGCGTTGATTATGTATATTTATTTCAGTCACTGGAAATGACTAACTTGTAAATCAGGCAAATATATTCACTGTTGGAGAATAAAGTTTTCTTTTCGTTACCAGTAGCGGCTGTCGGTATAGCAACTGACTACGGGCTGGACGACCGAGGGATCTGAGTTCCAATCCCGGTAGGGCCAAGAATTTTCACTTTTCCACGTCGTCCACTCCTATTCAATGGGTACCGGAGGCTCTTCCCCCGTGGTTGACGAATCTGACCACTGTCATCCAAATAGTGCCGAGGTCGTGAAAACGTGGGTCCACACATCCACTCCCCCATACGTCTTCATTGTGCAGCGTTTACTTAGTTAAGCACAGGGACAACTTTACCACTTGCGGCGCGGATCACATTGCAAGGTTTGTGTGGGAAGTAGGTTTGGCTCAAAAGCCATACACAGAGCAAGCATAAGTCTACTGCAGGATGAATACTCATAAAGACATTCTGTTGTTGTCTGTATTCGGGAAAACAAAATAAGAACAAAGCAGTCTTCTGGGATTTGGCACCGTGTATATGTGGTGTTAACCGACGTTCTTATATTTCTCCTTCTACCCTGAAGATGGAGGCGATACGCTCCTCCGAAACGTCGGTTAACACCACATATACACGGTGCCAAATCCCAGAAGACTGCTTTCTTCATAGTCACCGCCGTGAAAACCTCAAATCTTACGAAATATGAACATTTCATCAAGGGAGGTTATGAAAATCTCTGAGGTTGCACAGTGCTTACAATACGGAGAAGAGGAAATTGAAGAAACTTACATACCTAAGAAAAGTTAAGGAACACATTTTTAGAGATAACTACGCCATAGGCAGGGCCGGGATAGCCTAGTCGGTATAGCGACTGGATACGGGCTGGACAACCAAGGGATCGGAGTTCGAGTCCCGGTAGGGGCAAGAATTTTCAATTCAATATGTCGTCCAGGCCGGCTCTGAGGCTCACTCAGCCTCCTCTCCATTGACTGCCGGGGGCTATTTCCCCGGAGTCAAAGTGGCCGGGGCGCTCCAACTAGAGCGGACGTCAAGAAAACGTGGGGCTATACATCCACGCCTCCTACGCCTTCATGGCATAGTGATTAATTAGTTAAGCACAAGGGCAATTTTACCTTTACCTCTTTACCTTTTTTTATTGGCACTACAGCCCCAGTGGGCCTAGGCCTACCTCCATGAACTACGTTCACTTCGGTTTTTCTAGATCTTACACATTCGGTAGGGCTCCTTGGGCGAGTGATCAGCTCGTCGCAAGGCCTCTACCTGTACACAAACACAGAAAAACGCACATAAACATCCATGCCCTCAGTAGGATTCGAACCCACGATCCGGGTTTCCAAGCGAGCGAAGACAGTGCATGCCTTAGACCGCTCGGCTACCGTGACCGGCCACCTCTTTACCTTACTACGCCATATTTAGAACCATTACAGATATTCTATACTTAATA